AGTTGAAGTCAGAATTATTAGTCCCCTTTTGAATTTCTTTTTAAAATATTTCCCAAATGATGTTTAGCAGAGCAAGGAAATTTTCACAGTATGTCTGATTATATTTTTTCTTCTACAGAAAGTCTTATTTGTTTTATTTTGACTAGAATAAAAGCAGTTTTTATTTTTTTAAACACCATTTTAAGGACAAAATTAATAACCCCTTTAAGCTATATTTTTTTGATAGTCTACAGAACAAACCATCATTATATAATAACTTGCTTTATTACCCTAACCTGCCTAGTTAACCTAATTAACCTAGTTAAGCCTTTAAATGTCACTTTAAGCTGTATAGAAGTGTCTTGAAAAATATCTAGTCAAATGTTATTTACTGTCATCATGGCAAAGATAAAATAAACCAGTTATTAGAAATGAGTAATTAAAACTATTATGTTTAGAACTGTGCTGTAAAAAATCTGCTCTCCATTAAACAGAAATTGGGGAAAAAATAAACAGGGGTAGTATATATATATATTTAGATATATAAATATATATTAGTATTCATTTTAATTATACTTAATTTTTTTTATTAACTTGAAGATAGATAGATTGATAGACAGATAGACCGATAGACCGATAGATAGATAGATAGATAGATAGATAGATAGATAGATAGATAGATTGATTGATTGATTGATTGATTGATTCATTGATTCATTCATTCATTCATTTCATACATCTTTATACAGGGTGTCTGGAGTCTTAAAGTCTTAAAATGTCTTAAATCTCAAAATCAAAATTTTAGTCCTTTAAGTTTTAAATTTACTGAAATATTGTGTTGTAGGTCTTAAATCTTTTTAAAACAGCTCTTAGTTTTCTTTGTTCATGTATTGCTACCCAATCTGGCCATTAATGTCCATCCAATCCCCAACAATCCATCTTAATGTAACTTTTAACTTTTTTATTTAAAAAGGTTGTTTTGAACTCTAATTATCATAATGTTTTAGTTATTTTCCTTGCTATAACAAGAAGTGCGTCTTGTACTTACTGCTGAGGACACCGACCTGGACAGATTGTTGTGCAAAGATTTAGTTTATTTTAGTTTTTGACACTTTTTAAACATTTGTTCTTTATTTATTTTAAAGAAAGTTTATGTTGGGGGAAAAAGTGTATGGATTAGTAGAGTTTGCTTGTTTTCACACAGTATTAAAAATATTTTGCTGAGAAATATCTAAAATGTTTTAATTTTATATTATTAAACTATTATTGTATTATTAAATGTATTAAATTATAATAACTTTTGATAGGGCAAATATTCGTTGGGAGGTTTAGTTGGAATAAAATACACAACATTTTTTAAAAATCATAATGTTTATTTATGTATACTAATGTTTACTTCACATTTTAAAACAGCATTTAACTTAAGCTGACTGTAATAAACCTGGTATGCGAGCACAGAGATCACACATAAAACTGTCTGAATGCAATTCGATTAGATAATAAAATATCAAACACATTTTAATTAAAAACAGACAAATACTATTCAGGGACGAACCATTTCACAGGCATGTTTGAAGTGACACTTGCTTTTAGTGTGTCCAAAAAGTGTCTGTTCTGTGGAAGAAATATATTCTTCATCATAATGTTATTCACGCTGGAATGCAGAACATTTCAGAGTTAGATGCTCAATAGATATAAAATCCCCTCAAATCCCTTGTTGAGCGCTTTGTCTGTTAAAGCTTTTGAGAATAAAAAAGTTGTTTTCAAGAAAATAATCCCGTCTGGAGCTCAGGGCTTCTCAGAAAACACTCATAGATCTTTTCATGTTGAATCAGTATTGAATTTTTATGTGATTTCTTGTGATTAATGTGTTTTGTCTTCGTGCGCTAGCTCAGATGTTTCAGACATGTAAATGTTTTCAAGAAAATAATCCTGTCTGTATTGCTGAGGACTTCTTAGAAAAAAATCATGTTGCATCAATCAATATATTGTGTGGTAACACTTGTAGTTGTGTTCATAAGACTGTCATTAAACCTTTATAATCATGATATGACTCATGATGAATTTCAGTGAGATTTTATGCATGCCTTTAACTACTTTTATTGTCATTCGCTCAGTTATGTCATTTTAAATGCAAAGATGACATTGTTTATGACAACTTGACATAAACAAATACATCACAACCTGTTTTTGTCTTTGTCAGGACAACTTGACATTACCAAGACAACAAAACTTGTCATAAATCTGTCATAAACATGATCGTCATGAAGCCATTATAAATATGTCATGAATTTTTTAACAGCGTCTTTCATTTTTTTTGGACCTTGACTACTTTCTCTTTCTTAGATTTCACTCTCCAGAGCATCTGACATCATGTTCTTCCCTCAGGACTTGCGTTTAGGCTTCCCCTGCCACAATACGCCTAAAACATGGATTGGCAGGGAAGCGTTTTCTCTCGTCAACTGCAGGCAAAGAGTTAAATGAAAGTTTATCGATTTGACGCACATCGTAATACCAGCCATACATTCATTTATTCATTCATTCCTTTTCTTTTTGGCTTAGTCCTTATATTAATCTGGGGTCGCCACAGCGGAATGAACCGCCAACTTATAACTTATGGTTAACTTCCAGCTGCAACCCATCCTTGGGAAACATCCTTACACACTCATTCACACTCGTACACTACGGACAATTTAGTCCACCCAATTCACCTGTACCGGATGTCTTTGGACTGTGGGGGAAACCGGAGCACCCGGAAGAAACCCACGCTAATGCAGGGAGACCAGCCATACATGTAAAGCAAAAATAATGTCCTTCAATTCGGTCAAGTCACGTCCAGTGGCCGTCGCCCTAGAATCAATCTCCATCATTGTAAGCTGCTTGCTTTTCTGTCTGTTCCATTGCTCCGATTGTTAGATGTTTGCTCCCACTTTCTTTTGCAGTCTGAAGCGTGTCAAACGCACGAAACATCCAATTTGCACAGTATCATTCGCTGGATTGCACCACAGAATGCCTAATTGCATATTTGCATTGACTTCATATGTAAATCACTCACGCCTGACACTTCTTCTGCGTCTGCTTACTACATAGGATGCAAAACAATTCCCCCCACTCTCATGTGAATGATTCTGAGGGCACTGGTAAGACGTAATTTTTCGAGAGACACTCAAATACATCCTCTGCACTGCGTTTGCAATGTTTATAAGTCATGTAAAACAATCAGTTGCTAACTGAAACAAATCTAATTTGATTATATGGTTTAGAATTGGATGTTTATTTCATGAGGCCAAACTCTTTCTACTTTGCTGTATGTTGAAGCCTGCCTAATCACTGTAGCCTGACGGATGAACAAATCCAATTATGAATAAATAGGATATCTTGTAAGATACTGCATGATCCAAATATAGTATTATTTGATACATTTTTAAAGTTTTCATTTCTGTTTGGGCATGAAATCCACGCCAAAACCACCCTTCTAATGGGATCAGTTTAATCCAGATTTTTTTTTAGATCAAAGTGATCCAAATGCTACAAAAAAGGTCTGAAAAACCCAAACTAAAGGTTTGATCCGGATCAAAACCAAGATTGGATTATGTGATCTAATCTATTTATGTAATCCATTTATTATTTTGAAAAACCCATTTTCAAGATTTGATTCAATACCTTATCCAAAATCCTAGTGGATTACTTTTGAAAAACTGGGCCCTGGTCATTATTTAAATTTTGTAATTGTTTTGCATTTGCACGATAGCAAAAACTGCAATTTTTTGTTGATGGATTTTTGCGTTGGATTCAAGGATTGCAAAATCGCGAAAAACTATTGCATCTGATAAATGAGCAATATCACACGAGTAGCAGTGCGATATGGCTGTATATCGGCACTGGTGGGAGGCGTGCATTGCACGTGCATTGCAGTGCCGATTTAAGCCATATCGCACTGCTACTCGTGTGATATTGTGTTTATACAACAGTTTGACGGCATAATTGTGTATAAAAACAAAATCAAACATGGAGAGTGTCAAAAACCCTTTTGTATGAGGAACTACTTTCTTCCAGATTCAAATCATAAGCTGACAGTTAAACAGTTGAGTGTGCATCTTTTAAACTTAAGATCTGTAGTGTCTGCTTTTTGCTGGCTGTATGTGGGCGGAGTAAAGCAGGTCGCACACCAGAAGCGCCGCTCGGCGCCGCGACACGGCGCGTACATGACAGATTAAAGTATCGCACACCAGACGCGCACATTCGAATGATATTTAACATGAAACTAATCAGATGGCGCTCTGTGGCGCGGCTGAAAAATGAACTGCGTCCTGAGCCGTCGCCGGGCGCCGCCGACAGCCGCCGACTTGCGGCGCCGGTGTGTGTATCCTGATAGAAACCTATGATTAGAATTCTAAAATACGTGGCGCTGCGCGGCGCGCCGCCGAGCGTCGCTTCTGGTGTGCGACCTGCTTAATACACAAAGGGTAAAGAGGCTGTAGGAGTTCTGATATTGCAGAATATCGCACGGCTATCAGCCAATCAGATTTGAGAACCAGACAGAACTGTTGTATAAGCATGCATAAAATCTTAATCGCATTCAAGGGTTGGTGACAGTCTTATGAACACCCCTTCAAGTAAAGTGTTACCACAGTGCTTAATCAGATGTTTCAGACATGTAAACATGAGTGTTTTTGTTGTGTTTGCAGAGAAGATTGAGCGAACGGTTCAGATTGAAGCGTCTACAGTAGAAATCGAGGAGCGAGGAGTGAAACTCCGGCTCACTGTTGTGGACACACCGGGATACGGAGACGCCATCAACAGCCAGGACTGGTAAGTGTGTGTGTGTGTGTGTTTACTGAGATAATGATGTGTGTTGTGGTCATAACATTGCATTTTCACTGGTCCCACATGACAAAAATTTATATAATTAGCATTGACGTCACTTTAAATGGTTAAACATTTTTTGTCTTCCTTACCGTACGTTCACACCGAAAGCGGCGACAGCGTCAAAGTAGCCGGAAGTCATTCATTTTCAATGAGAGTCGGCGGCGATAGGCGGCGATAAGCGGCGAGGAGCAGCGCGGCGCGTCTTCGCCGGCGTGAGCGTCGAGGAGAGTTGAAATGAAGTCAATTTAATGGTAATGAGCTATGACGCGGTTCAGCGGCAAGCAATCAGAATGAAGACGTCCATCGCTTGATAGCAGTTCAGAGAACACAGACCTGTGAACTTTGGTTCCGACCACAGTTGTTCCCAAGGGTTTGATTATTGCGGTCGCCGCATTTCCAATTATTTCTAATTTTTTCCTACAGGAACATGCATTAAATAAGTTACTGGCGACTTACTGATGTGCATTAATGTTATATAAATTTATCTTTAAAAAGCGGGAATCTCACGCGATGTGACAGTACAAAACAGCACTGCTGCTTCAGGATATTTCAGACATATGGACACATATTGGATAAATAGAGCAAAGCCACAACACACGCAACTTGATCTTCCATTGTTGTATGAATTTGATAAGAAGTGCGCAACATTTTCACGCTAGAAACATGTTTTATGCAGGAATGTAACTGATATGCTGTAACGGCTCCTTTAAATATGAGATCAATGTAGCGAGTTTTGACGCTCTCGCCGCAGGAGCTGAAGGCAGAGAGCGTTGTTGCCAGGGCGGCCAGAGCGACCTTGGACGCTCTCGCCGCTTTCGGTGTGAACGTACGGTTAGACCTCATGTTATAAAATATGCTGTGTGTTATTACAAGCTTAAAAGTTGTAGACAGCTGATTGTTGAATTAAACTGCTGTTTCATTGTTATAATATGACTTGCACGTAAGCATGGGTTGGTATAAGATTCTGATGGTATGATAACCTTGGATAAAAATATCATGGTACTGGGATTACTGCTCTAAAATGTGCTCTTTTTTTAAATCTCTGGGTACATAATAACAACTTTTTCCCATTAAACACATTATTTTATATGTTAAGAAACCTTTAGAAAATTTTGGAGCAGTAAACAAACTAAATTCAAATTAATCATTGACCTAAGCTGTCTTCATTAGTTTCAAACACACAGATTTCTTTTCTGTTTTCGGAACGACAGTATCGATCCACAGGTGTAAAAGCACCCTTACATTTGATTATTTACCTTCTGTACCTGAATTCTTACCAAATAGAACTCTTTAAGGCCCCGTTTACACTAATTCGTTTTCGTTTTAAAACGCATAAGTTTTGATATGGTTACGCCGGAGTTCTCGAGCGCCGAAAACGGAGCGTTTTGAAAACGCTGGAGAGGCCGTTTTCATTCTGAAACGCTGCTGCTCCGTCTCAGTGTGGATGAGGGAAAACGGAGACATCTGAAAACGGAGGCGGGGCTGTTGAGATTCGCTACCTGATTAGGGCTTTTGTGTCATTGCGTATCCCTCCCTTATTCGTCACGCCCCTATCACATGACTATAACATATGGCTTTAACGCTACTTTAATACAGTACTGTAAACAACAACATGGGCACAGAAATGGGAGCGTTGTTTGCACTGTTGTCTGTTTTAGGCGCCATTGTGCAGTTATTCATTTGTTACGTTTAGTAACAACTCGACCTCGTCGTCTGTCCACAAAAATACCTCTCTTGCTTTTTTTGCCATCGCGTTTAATGTTCAACTGGCGTTTGTTGACTAACAATAACCACATGCCGAGCGAGACGCATGCTTTCTGTTTATACTGGAATGTGCATGCCCAGAGTGCGCGAATGGTCACATGATATACGTTTTTGGCGGCGTAGTGTGGACGGAGATATGTTCAGAGACACTAGGTGAAACGCTAGTGTGGACGCGGATCGTTTTTTATCTAAAACGACGTTTTAAAACTACAACGCTGTGAGATAGCCCAGCGGTAAGGCACAAGGACACAGGAAATTTAAGGCCAAAAAAATATTTATTTAACTTAAACAAACCAATAATCCAACATAAAAACTAGTTGGAAAACAAATTGAGGTCAACAAAAATATAACAGAAATTCAGGAAGTCTGAACACAACCAAACTGACCTACCAAATGAAACAACTACAGAGTATTTATACACAAACGGTGGATCCACTTAAACAACATAGGTGAAACAATAAAACATAACAATTATAAATATAATATTTACTAATCAAACTAATTCTAAATAAAAAACATTTACAAAATACAAGACATAATTACTCAAAATAAACAAATTATTTAAATTAAACAAACAAGTAATATAAAAAGACATATTCAAAGTAAACTTTCCCCCCCCTTATCATTTCGGCACATTGGTTCCGCCACGCGGGATCACCCGGACATAAATCTTTGACGCACACAGGAACCAGCCCTTTGCCAGTAAACATGACGGCCGATCCAGCGGACCACAGCATCATCCTCCACTGCACCCTCCGGTAACTTTAACTCAACAAAAATAACCATAAGTAAACCGAAATAACAGAAACAGTACTAATGTAAACTAGAATGTGTGCACTCCAAACCAGTAAACAATGTACCGAAACTGAAAGAAATTGTGACATGTAATATTTGGAACTTATTTTATAAATAAAGATATGAAATAAAGAGAAGTTGTCAGTCTCTAATTACCTAAAGTTCTTATGGATGTTATGCCTGTTTGTATGCGTGTAGTTGAGCAAGGTGCGCGCTTGTCAGCTAGTGAAGGAGCAGGAGAGTATTGTTTGGGTCTCAGCGAATGTGCGCGTTTCAGCGAATGTGCGTGTATGTGTAAGCGCGTGTGTGTGTGTGTGTGTGTGTCTGAGCGAGTGTGTGCGTTTGAGCGAATGTGCGTGTATGTGCAAGCGCGTGTGTCTAAGTGAATGCGTGTGTGTTTGTGTGTGTGTGTGTGTGTCTGAGCGAATGTGTGCGTGTGTTTGTTACCCTCAGTCTTGTGTGGCCATATGACAGGACATCACAAACGCACTAGTGTAAATGGGGCCTAAGTCATCTAGGGAAATTTTTATTCGTATCGCAGTATATAAAACCAAAACATCACAATGTCAGATTTTTCCAATATCGTGCCGCCCTACTTAGAAGTTTCATAGGTGTTTTCTACCATTTTGTAACTAAGTGCAAATGAAAGCTTTGTTAAATAAAATCGAGTTGTTGATGTGACGCCATCCTGAACCATCCCTACCTTTTACTACCAAACCATAATGCATGTTTACAGTACTCTTGACGTGTTGTCAGCAGAATTTTCCTTAGTAAGGTGAACAAGCTGTGTGTTGTTATTATTATTATTACAGATATCCTCTATAATATTAGACCTTGCGTATAACTTTGACCTTCTGAATGGAAGAGTGGACTGATGTATTAATGTAAATGCTCAGTGTTTTGGTTTTGTGAATCTGCACGGCGGAGGTTATTTACTGTTGTCTTGTGTTGCTCTATTGGTCATTGAGCCTTGCTGAGGAATGCTGAGAACGTCCTGTTTGAAAGAACAATATCCTCCCGTCTCTCACCCGCAGACTTCATGCACCATTAATGAAAATATTACACCATCTACATAACCTGCCCATTATCATATTATGCGTTTTCCTGCTTCATCTTATCAATTAGGCTGTGTTTTAAAGGGGGTCTATTATAGAAAAGTCACTTTTGTAAGGGGTTTAAATACAGCAGTGTGTCAGCAGTTTGTGAATATAACCAGCTTCTTAATATTAAACATTTATTCATTACAATTTTATAATCACATATGATAAAAACAGTCTGCAAAAAACACTTTGATTGACATTTTTCGGTTGTTAGTGTCATCAGAGGGGAAAAACCCCGCCCTTTTTTAACAATTTCTATTTCATTAGCATAGGACTGGACTTTAATCTTGCTTTTGAATCTGCCGCTATGCTGACTTACAGGCGTTTGTAGCTCCGCCCTCTCTTGAAATCTCATTTGAATTTAAAGCGACAGTCACTAAAACGGCTCAATTATGATCAAAGGTCTTTCAAATAAATCTGTTATATGTTCGAAAAAATATAAAAGATGAATAAATATTAATGAATTACCCTATTCAATTAGATATTAATCAGATTAAATATTCATTCATTTTCTTTTTGGCTTAGTCCCTTTATTAATCTGGGGTCGCCACAGCAGAATGAACCGTCAACTTATCCAGCATATGTTTTACGCAGCGGATGCCTTTCCAGCTGCAACTCATTACCGGGAAACACTCATACACTCTCATTCACACACATACACTATGGACAATTTTAGCTCACCCAATTCACCTGTACCGCATGTCTTTAGATTTGTGGGGGGAATGAGAGCACCCGGAGGAAACCCACGGGAATGCAGGGAGAACATGTAAACTCCACACAGAAACGCCAACTCTCCGAGCCGAGGCTCGAACCAGTAACTGTCTTGCTGTGAGGTGACTGCACTTCCTACTGCGCCAACGCGTCGCAACAGATTAAATAAATGAATATATATATTTTATATTTTTTTAAAACCCATATGACCTGCTCTTTTAGGCAAGACACTGCAGGTGAACAGTTTTTAATTTTTAATTGCAATTTTCTTTGCATGGTATGTTTAAATATGCAAATAGGCATTATTTCATTAATATTTGCTCACATTTATAGCACAAAATCATTGGATGTTTTTGTTTGTTTTTATCAAGATTTTTACAGAGTGGATTTTGGATCTCTTTTTGTCATTCATTCATTTTCTTTCAGCTTAAATGCCTGTGCACACCGAGACATATTTTTGCTTGCGTTTTCCGTCGACGTTTCACGCCTCATGACTAAATAAAGGGCGTCAATGTAATCGTGCACACCCCCGCGTCAAAACCTTCTCCACCAATCAGATTGGCAATTTTGTTTATGTGCACGGAGTTTCTGAAATTATAATAAACAGCACTTGGAGGCGCTCAAGAGCAAAACTGTCAAAAGCTTAAAGCTGTGTAGCGCCATCTAACGTCAAGGAGTGATTTTGCATAGTCTTCCGAAAATCGCTTGGGTTTGAATCTGGAAAAACGTCTTGAAAAACGCTGACGATAAACACAGACGAAGAGCTTTGCTTTGCGTTGTGTACGAGCCTTTAGTCCCTTATTTATTAGGGCTTGACACCGCTTTATGAACCGTCAACTAACTATTCCAGCATAAGTTTTACACAGTGGATGCCCTTCCAGCTGCAACCCAGTACTGGGAAATACCCATATACTTTCACAATCACACACACACTCATCCACTACGGCCAATTTAATTACCCCAGTTCACCTATAGGGCATGTTTTTATACTGTGGTGAAAACAGGAGCACCCGGAGGAAACCTATACCAACATGGGGAGAACATGCAAACTCATGTTCAAACACGAAATGCTAGCTGGCCCAGCTGAGACTCGAACCAGCAACCTTTTTGTTGTGAGGCGACAGTGCTAACCGCAAAATTTCCAATTACAAAAAGTAAAAGAATGTCAGAGTTTTATAGTAAATAAAAATTAGCTGCTCACCAATTCAGCTTTTCTGACTTAGCAATGCAGCTTTTTATTTAGTTTATTCAGCCATTAAAAACACAACTGTACTGTCTTAACTGGACATTAAAAAGCTTTGATTTGCGCTGAGTGGTTTTTTTGTCATTTCTAAAATGCATCTACATATCCTGTGACTAGATTTAGCTTTTTTTTTTCTCCTTTTTTTCTACTTATTTGATTCACTTGTTTAATACAATTACAAGCTCTTATGTCTGAGTATTTCCTTCAGCTTGGTCTTTGACCTCTGCTTTATTCTTTTTGACAGCTTTAAGACGATCATCCAGTACATCGATAATCAGTTTGAGCGATACTTGCATGACGAGAGCGGCCTGAACCGCAGACACATCGTGGACAACAGAGTTCACTGCTGCTTTTACTTCATCTCTCCATTTGGACACGGGTAAAACACTGCACATCTTCTGGCATCAATAAAAAGTTTATACATGCAGAAATTTACACCACAAATGATGCATTACAACAACATCAGTCACCCAAAACAATCCCAGTTGACTAATTCAGAACGTTTCACTTTGAGTTCAAATGTGGTAAGATCATCTATATTTGCCGCTGGATTTCTTCAGTATACACTGTTCACAGAAACGAAAGCTAATTGTCAGCAGCATTTGAGAAAAATGTACAAACCACACGCATAAAACACGAAAAATAAGTAAAATGGAGAGAAATGGAGATTGGCTAAATGAATTGCTAACATCACATTACTTTTGAGGCAGAATTTTGGTTTGTTTGTTTAATTTATCTATTCATTCATTTATTTGGTTAGTTTTGTATTCATTCATTCAGTCTTTAATTATTCATTTATTTTATTTATTTATTTTATATATTTATTTGTTTATTCATTATTATTTATTTATTCATTCATTTATGTATTCATTCATTCATTTATTATTATTTTCTATTCATTTGTTTATTTATTCACTCATTCGTTTATTTATTTATTTATTCATTCATTTATTTATTCATTTGTTTGTTTGTTTGTTTTTTATTTATTCATTCATTTATTTATTTGTTTATTAGTTTATTTATTCGTTTATTTATTTGTTTATCCATTTATGCATTTATTTATTCGTTCGTTTATTTTTTTAATCCATAATTAATTTATTCATTTATTTATTCATTTATCTATTAATTTATTTATTCATTCATTTATTCATTTATTTGTTTGTTTGTTTATTTATTCATTCATTTATTTATTCATTCATTCATTCGTTTATTTATTTAATCATTTATTTATACATTTGTTAATTTATTTATTATTCATTTATTTATATATTTGTTTCTTTCTTTGTTTATTCATTCATTTATTTATTCCTTCATTTGTTTATTTATTCATTCATTTATTTTATTTATTCATTCATTCATTCATTTATACATTTGTTCATTTATTTATTTTTTTATTGATTTATTGATTCATATATTCATTCACTCAGTTGTTCATTTATTTATTTATTCAATTATTCATCCGTTTGTTTATTTATTCATTCATTCATTTGTTTATTTGTTCATTCATTCATTAATTTATTTATTTGTTCATTTATTTATTTATTTATTCATTTGTTCATTTATTTATTCATTTATTCATCCATTTGTTTATATATTTATTTATTTATTCATTCATTTATTTATTCATTTATTTAGTCGTTCATTTATTTATTCAGTCGTTTATTAATTTATTTATTCATTTACTTATTAATTTATTCATTTATTAATTCATTTATTTACTCATCCTTCATTTAATCATGTATTCATTCTTTCACGTATTCAAAAAAATACTACTATTAAAATGTGTTGCTATACTATAATTGTTGTAAAAGAAACGTCAATTCCATCCCCAAAAATATTCTGTATTACCAGTACAACAGAATGGCTGGACAACTGTCTCTTGAATGAAAGTGTATCTGATTTGTTTAATTTTGTTTTCCAGCCTAAAGCCTTTGGATGTGGAGTTTATGAAGGCGATTCACAGTAAAGTCAACATTGTTCCTGTGATCGCCAAAGCCGACACACTCACGCTTAAAGAGAGAGACCGTCTGAAGAGAAGGGTAAGGGTCTTTCTGTTCAGAGCAAACACGACTCAATAAAACATATATTACTAGTTTATAAGAAGTCAAAAACAGCAACAAAAATTAAATATTTTATTTTGTAATCCATGTGAGAGCATAATTACTAAAATGTGTGTGCACGAAATAATAAAATAATATCTTTTTATCTTTTATTTGCAATGAAATTCAGAACCACTTGTTTGTTAAGCACAGTATGTTGTATAATATACAGTGGGTACGAAAAGTGTTCAGGCCCCCTTAAATTTTTCACTCTTTGTTATATTGCAACCATTTGCTAAAATCATTTAAGTTCGTTTTTTCCTCATTAATGTACACACAGCATCTCACATTGACAGAAAAACACAGAATATTTGCAGATTTAAAAAAAAAGAAAAACTGAAATATCACATAGTCCTTAGTATTCAGACTTTTAGCTGTGACACTCATATATTTAACTCAATTGCTGTCCGTTTCTTCTGATCATCCTTAAGATGGTTCATCTGAGTCTAGCTGTGTTTGATTATACCAATTGGACTTGATCAGGAAAGCCACACACCTATCTATATAAGACCTTACAGCTCACAATGCATGTCAGAGCAAATGACAATCATGAGGACAAAGGAACTGCCTGAAGAGCTCACAGACAGAATTGTGGCAAGGTATAGATCTGGCCAAGGTTAAAAACAAATCTGCTTCACATAAGGTTTCTAAGAGCACAGTGGCCTCTTTAATCCTTAAATCGAAGACGTTTGGGCATCCAGAATCTTTCCTAGAGCTGGCCGTCTGGCCAAACTGAGCTATCGGGGAAAAGAGCCTTGGTAAAGAAGAGAGGTAAAGAAGAACCCGAATATCAATGAGGCTGAGCTCCAGAGATGCAGTCAGGAGATGGGAGAAAGTTGAAGAAAGTCAACCATCACTGCAGTCCTTCATCAGACAGGGCTTTATGGCAGAGTGAAAGCCTCTACTCGGTGCAAGAAACATGAAAGCCCACCTGAAGGACTCCAAGATGGTGAAAAAATAAGATTCTCTGATCTGATGAGACCAAGATGGAACTTTTTGGCCTTAATTCTAAGCGATATGTCTGGAGACAACCAGTCCCTGTTCATCACCTTTCCAATACAGTCCCAATAGTGAAGCATGGTGTTGGCAGCATCATCCTGTGGGGGTGTTGTTTAGCTGCAGGGACAAGACGACTTGTTGCAATCGAGGGAAAGATGAATGCGGCCAAGTACATGGATATCCTGGATGAAAACCTTCTCCAGAGTGCTTAGGACCTCAAACTGAGCCGAAGGTTTACCTTTCAACAAGACAATGACCCTAAGTACACAGCTAAAATAACGAAGGAGTGGCTTCACAACAACTTCTTGACTGTTTTTAAATGGCCCAGCCAGAGCCCTGACTTGAACCCAATTGAGCATCTCTGCAGAGATCTACAATGGCTGTCCACCAACATTTACCACCCAACCTGACAGAACTGGAGAGGATCTGCAAGGAGGAATGGCAGGGAATCCCCAAATCCCGGTGTGAACAACTTGTTGCACCCCCCCCCCAAAAAAAAAAAACCTAGATTAAAAGGGGGCTTCTACTAATGTGATACCATGTAATATTTCAGTATTTTTTCTAAATAAATCTGCAAAAATGTCAAGAATTCTGTGTTTTCTGTCAATTTGAGATGCTGTGTGTACATTAATGAGGAAAAAAATTACTTAAATAATTTTAGCAAATGGCTAAAATATAACAAAGAGTGAAAAATATGAAAGGGGTCTAAATACTTTCCAGACCCACTGTATCTACTAAAAGACAGAAATATTACTTCACAAACTGTTTGTACATAACTCTTATAAAAAAGAAAAAAACGTATTATTAATTAATATTGCAGACATAAATATACAAATTAAATAAATATATATTTACACAAATTTACATAAGTAAATAAATAGACTTAATGATGGGCTAAAACAAATCTGCAGATTCCATGTGGATCTACCAATCCCCCATACACATGACAACCTCAAAACATTATGCAATTCTGAGTGTGCCTCACACAAGTGAGTGGGCTTGACAAACCACCTGTAGAAAACATCGCTCTCACTTGTGCCAGTTTTGCACATTTGTACCAGACACTTTCTTACAATTTCTCCATATCTCTCCAAACAAAACAAAATAAATAATAACATTGTGCATTTATGAAGTGTGCCTCACATAAGTGAGTGGGCTTGACAAACCACCTGTAGAAAACATCACTCTCACCTGTGCCAGTTTTGCACATTTGTACCAGACACTTTCTTACAATCTCTCCATTACTCTAAAAAACAAAACAAAATAAATAATAACATTGTGCATTTATGAAGTGTGCCTCACACAGGTGAGTGGGCTTGACAAACCACCTGTAGAAATGCTTTCCTCTTTATAAAAACACTCCTCCTTACTCCAGCACTTCATTCTCTGAGCACTAACAGTTGCTTTGTATAATTAGGCCTTCTTGTGTGTATCTGCTCTTGTTGAGTCACTGAATGCCTTCTCAATTGTAAGTCGCTTTGGACAAAAGCGTCTGCTAAATGTAAAGCTTCCTGCATTTTTTCATATCACATTATCAGTGTTTTCCCGTAATTTCAGTTGTGTGCAAGCATTCATGCATTGTGACATTCCTGGCAGTCAGTTTAGAGACATGCTGTCCGTTTCATGTGCTTCATTGCGCTGTTCTCTACAGACAATACTGTTCTCCTTGTGAAGTCTGCAGATGTTTCCCTTTAAACACACACACACACACACACACACAGACATTGGACTGTGTGTGTCAATGGAGGTCAGGTGTGTGTCAACCTGCACGCTCCACGTTTTCCTGCTGATGTGATCTGCAGGTTGAATAGGACTGCGATTATGTGGATCTGGCTCCACATCATTGGGACGTTATCTGTAATCCCACAGGAAGCTCAACTGAAGCTTGTTTAACATTTCTTCTGCTGCTTTTAGCATAATTATGTTAATGATAGCAACGATGGAGGTTTTTTTTCGCTGATGCTGGAGTCATCCGCTGCATTTGGGTTTAACAATACGAGTTACATTCCTCCATTTGTACAAACAAACAATCAAAAGCTGAATTTTAGTAGGTTTAAAGGGATAGTTCACCCAAAAATGTAACCTGCACTGTAAACAAAAGTTTATCTGCCTTCATTTTTTTTAACTAAGTCATCAACTTGCATGGATAAGATGGTTAAAAATACTAAGTTAAACTTTATTTAACTTAAAGAGCCCCTATTATGGGATTCCTTTACCTCAGTTTTAACAAAGAGCATAGAATCACCAAGAGGCGACACTCTAGTGCGATTCGGTAAACAGCCACTAGATGGCGAGGCGGCCATTTTTGAATGAAAACTCCAAAAGAACAACAGCATATTATAAGTCTGTAAAATAAACTATTAAAAGAGCTGATGATTGTGATAGTATAGTGTTGTATCCGCTTGTTAAGTGTGACGTCACGCAGAGCTGCTTCCGGGTCCAAGCGCTCTATTCTACTGAATGGGGAGATTCATGAAATGGTATTAGTAAACGTTTACAAAGCGATTTAATACTTTAGAAAGTCACGATCGCAATATATATATCCATGCCTAATATCCGATGGCCAGAAAGTAATTCATTGTTTTATAAATTGTTAAAATTTTGGTATTTGTTATGCAGCAAGCCCAGAGATTGTTGTGTACACTATGACTTTATATAAAATTAACTTTAATGTGCGATATGAATAAAAAGTAATCATAAACGAATGATTTCTCCACTCAAGTGAAACCCGGAAACAGTATTACATACGTCACAAACACGTCACCACTTAACAAGCGGATTGTCGTTTTTCAGGTTGTATCTCAGCTTTAATGCACTGTTTAAATAAATAAATAAATAAAAAAGCAGCTGCTTGCCATCGCGACAGCAATAAGATCCAATGGACAGCCAATTGCTTCCACTCCAAAATGGTGGAATTCGGGGCTGCTGCTGGGCGCTGCTGTTGCAATGGAACGTTCTATTGAGTGTCGCCTCTTGGTCATTCTAAGCTCTTTGGTTTTAATACAGTAACAGAAACATCTGGTTTATTAATATTTAAAAAGCAAAAAATACAGTATGAACAATGTTCAATACATAGACCTTCTTACAGTACACACAATAACAATCAATTATTAACAATAAACAATAAATTAAAAAATAAATAAATGTTAAAATGAATACATAAAATGCAGACATGCATCATAGCTAAATATTGTCCTTTATTTAGAAAGCAGCACACCTGTGTATACTACTTCAAACTGTTCTTGCACTCCGCCATCTCACAATTTAAATAAATACAGCTGAAGACAGAATTATTAGCCGCCCTGAATTATTTTTTTCCCCAATTTCTGTTTAACGGAGATAATAGTTTTAATAACTAATTTCTAATAACTGATTTATTTGTCATGATGACAGTAAATAATATTTGACTAGATATTTTTCAAGACACTTCTATACAGCTTAAAGTGACATTTAAAGGCTTAACTAGGTTAATTAGGTTAACTAGACAGGTTAGGGTAATTAGGCAAGTTATTGTATAATGATGGTTTGCTCTGTAGACTGTCGAAAATAAATAAGCTTAAAGAGGCTATTATTTTGTCCTTAATTTTTTTTTTTTAAGTAAATCTGTTTTTATTCTATCCGAAATAAAACAAACAAGACTTTCTCCAGAAGAAAAAATATTATCAGATATACTGTGAAAATTTCCTTGCTCTGTTAAACATCACTTGGGAAATAATTAAAAAATAAAAAACAAAATCTAATAATTATGACTACAACTGTATATAAACAAACTCAGCTTGCTGTAGTTTACACAGGACTGGCTGGAAATATGCATCGATACAGCTTTATTATGTATGCTATATTTCAGGGCGTTCAGAGAGAGAGGTCACATCACATACAAAGTTCTTCCACTCGCCTCTGTCAGTAGACTTTTCCCAGGTTTTTGTTCTCCTCTTTGATAT